TTTCTCTTTATTCTGTAGGTTTGGTGTTTTGATTATTATGTGTCGAGGGGACTTCTTTTGGTGCTCCAGTCTGTTTGGTGTTCTATAAGCTTCTTGTACTTTCATAGGCATATACTTCTGTAGGTCGGGGAAGTTTTCTTCTATAATTTTGTTGAATATGTTTTCTGTACCTTTGAGCTGTATTTCTTTACCTTCTTCTATACCTATTATTCTTAGGTTAAGCCTTTTCACGGTGTCCCATATTTCCTGGATATTTTGTGTTAGGGATTTGTTGGACTTGAGATTTTCTTTGGTCAATGACTGTATATCCTATATCGAGTCTTCAACAACTGAGATTCTCTCTTCCATCTCTTGAATTCTACTGGTTATACTCAAGTCTTTAGTTCCTAATCGTTTATCCAGCCTTTCTATTTCCAGCATTGCCTCATTCTGTGTTTTCTTTATTGTGTCTATTTCAGCTTTCATGCCTTGAACTGTTTTGAGTGCTTCCTTCACTTGTTTGGTTGTTTTTTTTTTCTTGGCTTTCTTTAGATTCTTTAAGAGATTTGTTTACTTCTTGAATTTTTTGGTTTGTCTTTTCCTCCATTTCATGCAATTTTTTGCTTGTTTTTTCTTCTATTTCTTTATGGGATTTTCTTGTTTCCTCTTTAAAGGTCTCTATCATCTTCCTAAGATAATTTTTTAAAAGATTTATTTATTATGTATACAACATTCTACTTCCATGTATATCTGCACACCAGAAGGGGGCACCAGATCTCATAACGGATGGTTGTGAGCCACCATGTAGTTGCTGGGAATTGAACTCAGGACCTCTGGAGGAACAGTCAGTGCTCTTAACCTCTGAGCCATCTCTCCAGCCCATCCTAAGATAATTTTGGGCTTCTCCAGCCCATCCTCTTTGTTGGGCTTCTCAGATCTTGCTGGTGTGGAGTCCCGAGATTCTGGTGGTGTCATATTGGCTTTCTGTTGTTGAATGTGTTCTTACTCTGTCTTCTTCCCATCCCTTCTTCCAGTGAGTGCAGGTGGGGTCTCTCCCTCTCTCTGGTGGTAGGCAGAGGGCTCAGACTCCAGTGGCAGCTGGATGGCTGAGAGTGGTGGGTGGACAAGGGTGGGGTATGTCCCGACTCGGGGTGGGCATTCCTGTCTGGGCAGGTCCACTCTTGCCTGGGTGGGCTCAGCCAGAAGCGAGCAGGGGTTGATGGGGCAGTTTGAGGGGGGCAGAGCAGAGACCAGACTCACCTGAGGCTCCGGCACCTGCCACAGGACACAGTGAGAATTTCTTTATCCCTGGCTGCAGAATGTTTCCTCATCCCTCTTACCGGTAAATGTCACTCTCCCAAGTCACCAGCATGCTAATACCTACCACTCACATTTTAGTTTTGCCTGTTCTTAAAATTCCTAAAAATGGTACCATATATCATGTATTCCTTTGCATCTACCATATTTACTGTCACAATGCCCGAGAGATTTGTCCACATAGTTGATAACTGCAACACTAGCTGTTTTTATTAGCATGTAGAATTCCATTCTATTGATATTATACAGCTTATTTATGCATTGTATGGCTGATCAAAATTTAGAAAGTCCACAATTTAACAACCATTACTACAACTTATGCTTATGATTGCTATGTATGATTGCTATGTACCTAGAAGTCATTGCTGGATCATATAGTAGGTGTGTATAGCGCTGGAACTATATTTTTATAAAGCAACTTCTATTGTGGATTTTATATATTTAGTCATTTTTCCTAACATATGTAAAAACATTAATCTTCACCATTGCATGACCTAAACATTTTCATATCCACTTCCTACAGTCACACAGATTGTGCCTGTCAGTTAACCTTTCCCAATCTACATAAGCTAGCACTTCCCAACATCCCCAGGAAGCCACATGCAATTAGGGCAGAACTGCATATAAATGGTTGGGAGGAATGGCTGGAATTCTAGGTGGGGGTCCAGTGATGCTCCCCATACTTCTCCTCTGAGGGACTATCAACAGTCAACAGGCCTGCTTTTGATGGCCTCTGGAGGGGTAGGCAGAGCTGTTCTGATGAAGATGGTGTCTATTTTGCTCAGAGGACTGTGGTCTATAGCAGTTGTCAAATCCTGTTTCCCCGAGATACAACCCATGGTAGACTTAGAACTTGCCATATGAATTTAGCTACTTATGAAACACTGGCTTATTTATGTTCATATTTACCAGAGGCAAGCCCTACAGTAAAGAAATGCTTCAGAGCAGAAATAATGAGTAGGTGGGAGAGACTGCAGACTGGGAGGATTTTCCAGACGCCTATGTATCCTATTTGTGTTTGTATTATATGTGTGTATTGTTTGCACACATGTGTGTACACTGTACCCAACACCAGAGGACATTAGTATCCTGTGCTGTCATTCTCTGTCTTGTTTCTTTCAGATAGTATTTCACTGAACCTGGATAGGGGTGGCCAGCAACCCCCTGGAAATCTCTTGTCTACCCCTGTCCATGCACCAGGGATAGAGGTACACACAGGATTTGCATTCAAGTCCTCATGCTTGCTCAGCAAGTACTCTTACCACTGACCCATCTCCTCAACCATTAGATCTTTGTTTGTTTGTTTGTTTGTTTGTTTTTTGTTTGTTTGCTTTTCAAGACAGGGTTTCTCTGTGGCTTTAGAGCCTGTCCTGGAACCAGCTCTTGTAGATCAGGCTGGTCTCGAACTCACAGAGATCCACCTGCCTCTGCCTCCTGAGTACTGGGATTAAAGATGTGCGCTGCTGCTGCTGCTGCTGCTGCCGCCGCCACCACCACTGCCACCACCACCACCCTGCTCCATTATATTAGCAGAGTTGTGCAGCACACACACACACACACACACACACACACACACACACACACACAAATATGTGGACCTGAAATTCAGGCAGAATTCTAAAAGTCTTGAGGCAAAATTTTTCCTCATTTCTCAATCTTAAGACCCTCAATAATTGGATGAGACCCACACATTATGAAAGGTAATCTTCTTTACTTAAAGCTGAATGTGTGTGTTAGTCATATCAAAACACCTTCATAGCTGCCTCTAAACTGATGTTAAATGCTATAGCCTAATCAAGTTGATGCATAAATTAGACACCATTGTGTTTAAAGCTAGATTTATGCTTGGCTAAAACAGTCCTGATTACCTATTCACTGAGAGCCTATTAATCTTTGAAAGGTATATTTATTGTGTTTCAAGTGATGCATGATCTCAGGGTTTAGTGTCACATGGGCCACAGATAGTGCTACTAGTCTTGGTTGAAGAATCTTAAATTATAAAGGAGATTAGATATTGATGTTGTATCAGGAGAGTCAGCTGGCTAAGTCTTTGGGAAGTCTCCAAATCTCATTAAATCATATCTCAAAGAAAAGCCTCTCTTATCAAAACAGCAGATAAGGTAGTGTGCTTCAATCAGTGAGGGGCTGAATGTTGCTATCGATGCTTGTGATGTCTTTCTTCCAAATAATGTCATTGATGGCAGGTACCCAGAAACCATGGATATTATCTTTATTTGTACATTTTACCCATTTAATTGCATGATTTCACAAATAATGGCCTGATTGCCTCTTCTACTTCCTACCCTTCCTAAAACATTAGAAATGAGTGATCAGGTCTTTTTGCCATACTTAAGTAGCAATGTCCAATGAATTAAAATAAAATTACCTGGAAGATGGACCATGGATTACATCTGACTCTTCATTTTGATCTATAGGTTTAAAAACAGTATTAATGTTGACATGTAGAAAGCAGAAGATTTCTTTTCAAAATACAGGAAATTTTGTGCTGTGGTGGTTGTCCCTAGACAGAAGTCCTTCTCTTTCCCTCTCTCTGACTTTCTGCATTCTTGGTCCTCATCATCCCTGGCCAGCCGGTCCTTCTTCAGAGCTGCCTGGTCTGGATTTCTAGTCCAGCACTACCTCCTTGTTTTATTTAGAGTTTCTATTGTTGTGAAGAGACACCATGAACATGGCAAATCTTATAAAGGAAGGCATTTAATTGAGGCTGGCTTACAGGTTCAGAGGTTCAGTCATTGTCATGGCAGGAAGCATGGTGGCATACAGGCAGACATGATGCTGGAGAGGTAGCTGAGAGGTCTATATCTGGATTGGCAGGCAGCCGGAAGAGAGAGTGACACTGGGCCTGACTTGAGCACTTGAAACATCAAAGCCCACCCCTAGTGACACACTTTCTCCAACAGGGACACACCTCCTAATTGTGCCACTCCCTGTGAATCTATGGGGGCCATTTTCATTCAAACACCCAAAGGATCCATTCCTGTTTCCCTAGCCCAAGTTTGTGTCATATGTCCAAGACTATCAGTTCTTACCCTTTGTCCTCTTCCCAGTTTAAGGACATAGCCACATTAGATGACATCTTCTTGAGCTCATCCATTCCCTGCAGCATCCCATTCTCCTTCTGTGGGTCCCAACCTGCTAGTGTCTACCTTGCTGTGGGAAAGAGCTTCTCTGAAACAGTCCCCCTAACACCTGCACTTACTAATTCTGTGTTCCTCTTTCATTCCCAGTCGAGTCCTGCCCCCTCATAGCCTCAGAGTGGCAGGAAGGATCCAATCCCTATGGTATGACTTATGCCACCTGGGTCTATGCTAGCACAATCTGCCAGAGTTCAAGGACCCCTGCTGCTCCCTTATCACTTCACATGCTTCTTCTGTGTGTACTGCATTTTGTTTTATGGTTTCTGAAGCAATTAAAATTCCTTGAATTAAATAAAATTTGAATAAATTATTAAAAATAAATAATTGATAAAATAAAAAATTAAAGTTGCAAGACCTTTAAAAAAGGATTTCTGGATTTTCTAAAATTGTAAACCAATCAGAGGTCTGGTAATACTAGGACAGGATTATGCATGATAAACACTTTCTTCCTAGAAAGTAGTGGTAGTCCTTGTCATGTGTTTCCCAGGTCACAGGAGCCACCCACTGTCTGGCTTCTCTGTAATGTCACCAGTGCTGTCCTGTAAACTAAATTATAATCTCTGACACAGCTTGCAGCTGTCATCTGGCCAGGGCTATGATCCAGCATCTGCAATTTGGGCTTGACGGACTTTCTTTCTGTCATCCTGATAGACATCAAGACACAGCTTATACAGCATTGTACAGTCCCTGATCCAAAGGACTGGGACTGCCAAGTATATGAGTGGAGTTATCCAACCATTCCCACAGGGTTTGGAGGAGAGAGCTCCATCCCCATCAGGGGTCAGTAGTCTTTTCCTCTCTTCTCTATCAGTTTACTTCTTCCTTTCTCCTGTTTCCATTTTCCTTCTTCCTTCTTTTCCTTTGCTTTTCCCTCCTGTTCCTTTCTCTTATCTCATTTCTTCCCCTTCCTCCTTTTCTCCATTTTCCCCTCCTTATTGTCGTCCTGGCTTCAGGGTTGTCTCACCGGCAAGGCAGAGACAGCAGGCCTCTTAGCCTCCTCACTCCTAGAAGAGTATGCTGAAGTGGAGCTGGGCAGGGCCAGTGTTGTCATGACTGGAAGATGTGGGGAATGAGGGAACCAGAAGCCACTTCCCCTCCTCTTTCAGATCCCCTCTCTTCATACAGAAGGTGGACAAGGAGGACCACTTAGCATGTGGGTGACCCTCTCCTTCTCCCTTCCAGCTTTCTAGAGCAGCTCACTCTACTTCTTCCTGCCCATTGTCCCCTCCCTGCTTTCCAGTAATCTTGTGAATCTTGTTCCCAGACAGGAGGTTGCAGGGATTGAAAGCGGGGGCCATGCTAAGTGGGGGGAGTGTGGTGCAGGGGGCTCTGGAAGGCAGGAGGATGAGAAAGTTCCACCAGGCATGGAAAGACAAAGTCCTCTCTGAGCCAACCCAACCAGACGAAGGTATTATTTGCACCAAGAGTGTGAAGTCAAATGCTTTCAGTTTCTTTATGTATTTATGCCACATTCCTGGCACAGTGCACATTTTGGCAGGTACATCTTAATTAAGTAAGTTATATGATAGTTAAAAATTCAGTGCTCAACCAAGTTAAGGAAGGAGGTTCTTAAGAGCGATCCCCTACAAATTAGTACACCATGATCCCCCACAAGTTAATACACCATGCCAGGGATTTAATTTAGAAATTAAAGAAAGGACCTTAAAATATATACTAGGGTTGTCCAGATGGCTCAGCAGGTAAAGGTACTTGTCCCTAAGCTGAACCACCTGAATTAGATCCAAAGACCCACATGATGGAAGGAGAACCAATTCCTGAAAGCTGATATCCGACCTTCATGTGTGAGCTGCAGGGTGTGTACATACATATACATATGCACATGCACTCACCCACAGGCACACATAAATGTACAAGTAAAAATTTAAATAGTACCAACCACTGTATTTGATAGAAAGAGCAGAAGAGACTGAACAGATGTTTCAGGGTCAATAACAAGTCCAACAAAAATCTGGGTATCATCATCTCTCCTCAATGCTTAGTACATAATCAACACGTAAAACCAGACAGTGTCTGTATCATGATGGTTAAATACTTATTAAATGCTGACATATTGAAGGAATTGTGATTAGCCACTACATAGTGGAAACTAACCAGAGTACCATCCAGACAACAGTCACTCTATAAAATCAACAGCAATGCACACAAAAGAATGACACTAATATTGTGATGAGGTATCCATCAGAGAAGACCACTTGAACATGGGTTCAAGTCAATAGAAAGTCTTTATTAGCTGGCAGGTGACTACACTGGGACCCAACTGAAGTCCTGAATCTTTCTCAGGGTGAGCTTTTAAACACAAAAAACATACCCTGGGTTGCCACACTTCAGTTAGCAAGATCAGCCAGAAGCAAAACTATGGAAGTCAAAAAGCAATGTTAGTATACCTAGGGACATTCCCAAACTATGAACTTTGGTGGTATAGGTCTTTGTTCTCATTTAGGCAGGTATTGAATCCTACTTACTGGGCTCTAACATGACATCAGTTATGCTAAGATCTGGGGGCCTATTGCAATATAATAGGCATGTTTTAGAAATTACCTGTTTTTACCAGTAGATAGATTCTCTGAAAATGTTAATTTCAGCTGTTAAGGAAGAAAAAAAAGTCTGGGCCTGGTGGCACAGGCCTGTAATCCTAGGTACATGGAGGCTAACACAGTAGGATTCCAAGCCCAAGACTTGCCTGGGCTACAGTGAGTTCAAGGTCAGCCTGAGCTCTCTCTTATATAGAGAGCTCCTATATAAAAATAAAAAGTGAAAAAGAGAGCTGGAGATATAACTCAGAGGTGTCTACTAACCTGGCGGGTAGAAGACACTCAGTTCAACTTCCAGTCCTGGATGAAAAAGAAAAGAGTAAAAAGCAAAAATTGGGAGAGGATACAGCTCTATGGTAGAGCACTTATCTAACACACTTAAGCCATTGGCTTCTTTAGCACTGAGGAGAGGGAGAGGCTAAATACAAAGAGCAGCAAAAAGGAAGCTGTAGTTGAGACACTAAACCACTTGAACATGTGGCTCTGGCAGGCCTGTCCTTCTCTCTCATTTCCTCTGCCTTGCTAAAAACTATTAGATTATATTCCTAAAGCTAGCCACCAAGGTCTACTCCCTTATTTGATCACTTCCTCCTCCCGAGGCTGACTACCAAAGTCCAGCAACCAAAAGCCCCCTTTGGCTCACCAAATTAACATGACCAGTTAAAATTAAAAACCTCATCCTAACACCAGGTTTCCCCTTTCCCTTTATAAACCACTAAGTCAGCTTGCCTTGAAGACTTTTAAAGTGCAAGAGCCAATCATGGAAAAGGTCAAACTGTTTCCTTGATTTATAAACAATGTGGTAATGTGAGTCAAGTTCTTACTGGTTTGGGTTTGAGGTCTCCTATTTTGCAGACTTTTTTTTGTGTGTGTGCAGATTAAATTTTTACAATTTTAAATTATAATGTGGTTTTCTTTTGAGGCTAACAAAGCTACAGAATCCACTTGTAATTATATCAACTATGAAATTATGGTTTGGGTTATTATTAATATACATTATGTGATATAAATTGATAAAATTCATTCATAAAGTTCATGTGTTACATGACATATCAAGAATAATAATATGAAGGCTACTGATTATTGTAAGTTAATTTTGTATCCAGCTACTTTGCTGGAAGTATCAGCTGTAGACGTTTCCTAGTGGAGTTTTTAGGATCATTTACATATAAAATCAAATCATCTGGAAAAAAATACTGTGATTTCTTCCCTTCCAATTTGTATCCCCTTGATCTCCTTCAGTTAGTTGTCTTGTTGCTTTAGCTAAAACTTAAAGTACTATATCAAATACACATGGAGATAATGAACAACCTTGTCTTGTTCCTGAATTTTAGTGAGAATTCAAGTTCTATATCAAATACACATGGAGATAATGAACAACCTTGTCTTGTTCCTGAATTTTAGTGGGATTTCTTTGAATTTCTCTCCATTTAATTCGATGTTGGCTGTGGGCTTGCTGTAAACTACTTTATTATGTTTAGGAATGTCCCTTGTATCCCTAGTCTTTCCAGGACTTTTATCATGAAGGGATGTGGAATTTTGTCAAAGGCCTTTTCTGCATCTAATGAGATGATCATTTGTTTTATGTCTTTGTACAGGTGTTTTTAAGCTGGGTAGATGGCCTCTCTGGATTAAATAATGGGTTGGTTAGTGATGAATGAATAATGTGTAGAAAAAGAAGGTCTTTCTAGAGGTAATAAGATGAATTCTAGTTTCATATTTTGGTGCAAGTAATGCAGGATGAGTAGCAGGTCTCAGTTGAAATCTAGTGAACTCAGGTGTTATGTTGATGGTAACAAGTAGCTAAGGTCCTTTGTCGAAGAAGCAAGGCTGGAGACAACTTTGACCCTTCTCATCACAGTATTGTCAATGTGTCTTTCCTTTAAGGTCTAAGCCAGTCAGTTACTTGGTTCTCAGGAGCAGTGACCTTCAAACTGGAGTATATCTACAGGTGTGGGAAAACATTCTAAGGGTCACTCGAGCACAGTTTTGTGGGAGTCAACTCCTCGGCTGTTGAGTCCCATACAGACTGGTCTGCCTGACACCCAGCCTGCATGCTTAGAAAGATCACTCATTCTGGTATCTACTTTCCAAAAATCCTTCTCCAATTTAAAGATGAAAGACTCAGCCATAATTTCATATTATAATATATAATTATCAGTTTGTTTTAAAAAACAGTGCTGTTTACTTTTATAATTTATTATGAAAATGAGTAATGGGAAAACTGACTATATGGGACTTCTTGACTTTGATTCTTCCAGCTATCTGTCTCATAGGATGTGCTTTGTTTTTTGTCTTTCAATGGTTTTCAAAATATTCCAGCCTTCACTATGCAGTGAATTCCAGGTAGCCACATTAATTTATTTACTTGAGTTGGAAATGAAAGGAGGAATTTTCCTAAGAAAGAAAACCTCTTATGACTGCCTTTGCTAGTTAGTTGAGATGACAAACATTTTCTATGGATTTGGTGAGTTAAATTTGTTGTCTTATCCCATTTACAGTTTGATAAAAAACAAAGCAAAACATTGAAAACAATATGATAATAAAATGTGTTAAAAATCATAAATTGGGCTAGGTGTGGTGACACTTGCCTGCAATCCCATCATTAGTTCCAGGCCATCCTGAACTACACAGTAAAACAATTATTTTTCACACACATGCACACAGACACAGACGCAGAAAAGCTGTCAAGAGTTTGAGGCCAGCCTTCACTATGCAGTGAATTCCAGCCATGACTTTGTAATGAGATCTTACCTCCTCTAAAAATAATATCTAATAACTAATCAATTGATAAGTCTTGTAGTTTTTTTGAGAAGTCACATTATCTGGATAAAAAATTTACTTGTAAGTCAGATAGCTTCCAATTCTTTTATCCCAGCAAAACTGAAGACATGCCTATTCAATTCATCTGATACAATATGAAAATAATGTATGACAAGCCACTAGATGATTTATGCTACAAAATTTAGAAGGAGGGCAAGGAATTGTGTGACTTTGTTTTAGCAAAACCTTTTCTATACCCTCACACTGCTAACATAAACAAGATTTCTTAATCTGCATATTATAAAGTTAAAAATAGGGAGAAATGAAACTAAACTTTTCTCATATTAATGATAAGTAGTATTTGTGGATTTATGATTGAACTAATTTTGAGGATGAACCATTATTATTCCTCTCATTAATAATTGTACTTCTAATGAAAAATTCTTTGTATTTAATAATGTTCAAAGTATTAGCAAATGGATAATAGAGAATAGTGGGGATGAATATACCATGATACTTTGTATGTCTGTATGAAATTGTAAAATTTTTAAAAACTTAAAAAGTTAGTAATATTGATGTTTAGACCAACAGTACTTGTAATGATAGAAGATACTATCAATCATGGCACTTAAAAATTCATTAGAAATGCATAATTGTGTCATATATATTTAAATGACCATTCAGATATTATATTTGTTAAACATTCAAATGTAGGATGCTAAATTTGGACATACCTATATGAAGACTCTGAAGTTAAATTAGTAAAATTCTGACTGCTAAAAATAAATTTTTGTCAGATCTCTAAAAAGCAGTTATCAAACTGCTAAGACATTTAGATAGCATAAGCTGGTAAAAAACAGGGTGAAGCTGGGCGTTGGTGGCGCACGCCTTTAATCCCAGCACTCAGGAGGCAGAGGCAGGCTGATCTCTGTGAGTTCGAGGCTGGCCTGGTCTCCAGAACGAGTGCCAGGATAGGCTCCAAAGCTACACAGAGAAACCCTGTCTTGAAAAACAAGAAAACAAACCAAACCAAACCAAAACAAAACAAAAAACAACAACAAAAAAATAGGGTGAGTCTTAATGGATACTTCAGCATTTAACACACACTAGAAATTATGTCCAATGTAAGCATTTAAAATTACAATAAATATAGTTTTATGGAGTCTTAGAAAGTTGTGGAGTAGAATGTAGTGTGAAGATTGCTACCATGGAAGCTGGCTCTTTCAATTATCCTGGGCACCAGGCCCAGAGTCAGTAGGCATAGTCCACACACATGGTGCTTCTGTGAGCTGGGGTCAGTGCCAGGCTCTAGACTTGCCCTAGAAGGTGAGTGGAGGTGTTAATATGTTTCCTGGAGTATATGAATAGTTATGTGTTCAGAGACTCCACACAGAACACAAACAGGAAACTCACTTTTCTGTCTAACTCAGGGATATCTGAGATTAGACTGGTAGTGGGCATGTATAATTGTATAGCTCTAAGACTGAATTCAGAGGGGCTGATTGTCAGCAAGATCCCACCAGATATTAGATAGGTACCTTAAAGGAAGTCAATAAATCCATTAGATAGAACTCCTCTCATAAGAAAATTAGTGATAATGCTAGTCATACCTCATATCATACCATTGAAAATCTTAGGTATGAAGAAAGTGTTCACACTCAATTCTCCATTTATCCAGGTGACTTCAGAGAAGGGAACAATGGGAAGATCACCAGCATCCAAAAATAGAGGAGGCAGATGCAAGAAAAGATACCACAGAAATGCAAGGTTCCAGGCTAGGGAAGACAGCTTAGCTGATAAAGTGCTGCCTCAAAAGCTTGAGGGCCTGAGTTGGAACCCACATAAAAATGTCATTTGCCATGGCACATGCATGTAATCCCAGCACTAGAGAGGCGGAGACAAGAGCTCCATGGGGCCCACTAGCCAGCCAATCTAGCCTAGTCGGTGAGCTCCAGGTCATTGAGAGATCCTGTCTCAAAAGAATGGATGGCTCTCCCTGAGGATGACACCCAAGGTTACCCTCTGGCCTCCACATGCACACACATGCATCCCCCACATGAAAACACATGTTCAAACAAAAAAAAAAAAAAAAAAAAGAAATACAAGTTTCCATGGGTTTTAAAGGTTACAACTGGGAAGCCAGATTTTGCTGTTGGTTCAGCTGGTCATGATTTTTCATTTGTTTATGTATCATCATAGCAAAACACACAAGTTCAAGGAAATCTTGTGGCAAAGCTACCTGAGGTATATAACAACTCAGGTAAGACAGCGATGTAGTTCTGTGAAGAATCAGTTAGAGCCAGGATGAAGCTCTGTCATCCTCAGTAATTACCATTTCTTTCCCAAAGCTCCTACACCACACACAGCATACATGCCTTCATTGTGGGGGTTACCACTCTGGAGACAGAATCACTTCTAGTCACGTGTATCACGTGGGCTAGAAGTTAGTAACATAGCATTAACTGCATGGGCGTTAAGAGACACATCTGATATTTTGGCAGCCATATGCTACCTACAGTGTGGGAGTTTTAATTCTGTCATTAAAGAGAGTAATGGATTTTAGTGGACTAAAGTTAGTCTGTTACAATCCTCCCCTCAGGGTTTCTGAATATAGGTACTGTTCTTCCTACACATCCATCCCATTCACTTCTTCCCTTAAAGGATGCAGTTCAAGCACATTACCTATTACTATGCTGGTTCAAAACTCAAGATCTCTGATGTGCAATGGCCCTTATCAGCAGGACTGTCAATCATTTGCCCTGCTGGCCCGTAAGTTAAAAAAGTATCCTGGCCTGCACCTCATGCTCAAAATAACAGCAGTAAAAATACCTCAATACCCTGATTCGTCATAGAGAGGACTGAAATATGTAGTAGTCATGAGCTGATGGGAATTAATTCCTTCCAGGAGGAAGTAATGAAATCTAGGTTCTGATGATGAATCCAAGGGCACAGTTAGACCTGGATCTGCTATCTGGAAGGAGCCTTGCTGGCCATTACTCTCTATGGCTCCTTTGCTTTTGTGGTATCTTAGCCTCTTTGAACCCTATGTCGGTTCAAATTCAGGCCCTCCATCTTTTGAGGCAAACACAGAACAAAGAACAGAGCAGCAAGAACAGATAGTTGTGGTTAAATTTTACCTTGTGTTTATTTCTCTACAACTGCTGGCATGTGAGGTGGGTGCTGGGAGGTTTCCTCTGGGGCAGACAACTCGTACAGATGGCAGGACATGTTTAAAGGCCCAGGTTCCTTCAGGAGTCTAAGACCAATATGGGTCTCACACTCTGCACTCTGACCAGGTCTCTCCCTCAGTTGCTATTACAGTTTTACCTGCACAGATGTGTTCTAGTCATCTGGAAGATAGACTCAAACATGACTCTTGATCTTCCGATTGCCCTCAACTTCTAGGAAGCTCCAAACAGACTCTTAGACATTGCTGCAGGAAAAAAAAATCACCAAAATATTGGAAGGATCATTGGAAGGCCCCCCTCTCTCATTCTGCTTTCTTCTTCTTGTGAGACTGTATGTCATAGCAGATGAACCATAGGGAACCCCATCAGTAAAGGTCATTGCTAGAGTTCCTGTCCTTTAAGCAGGAAGAGAATAGGTTGTGTGTTGAATTTGCCAGTCCAGAATACCCATCACAAGGTATATAAGAGAGTACATCACTTTGATTAGGAAGTTCACTTTCTTGGGGGCCCATAATATCTTTACATCACAAGCATGAGGAGTTGAATTTAATTCTCAGAACCCACATTAAAACAAACCAAAATACTGGATGTGATGGTACTTGTAATTCCCCGTACTAGGGAGGCAGAGACACATAGATCCCTGGAACTTGTTGGCCAATCAGTATAACATATTTGGCAAGCTCCAGGCCAGTGAGAGACTCTTATTTCAAAAAACAAAGAGAGGGCTAGAGCTGAAGCTCAGTGGTAGAGCTCTTGCTAGCATACCTGAGGTTGTAAGATCAATTCCCAACACTGCAAAAACAAACCAAAACAAAAACCACAAGGTGGCTATCTCCTTAGGAACAACATAAGGTTGTCTGTCTTCTTGCCTCCACACTCATACACACATGCATGCATATACATGCATCAGCACATATGCACATACACAAAAAAGAAAGTTTGCTATCTCAGTGATACTAATTTAGCAGATATTGAGGTTCAGTAAGGTCTTAAAGTCCCAAGTAGCTCTCTCTCTCTCTCTCTCTCTCTCTCTCTCTCCTTCTTTCTCTCTCTCTCTCTCCCTCTCTCTCTCTCTCTCTCTCTCTCTCTCTCTCTCTCTCTGTAGTCTGGATCCCATTTGCATTCTCAAAGGGAACTTTTGTGAATGTTAATATACAGTAGTTGATGTCTGTAAGACTTCTAGCAAGGAGGTGGATGCAATCCTTAAGGGTCAGTATGGACCAAAGCCAGAAAACGGGAAAGGGATTAAAGGGACCCTATCACCTTAACCATCAGATTTAAGGAAAATTAAGGCCTCCTGAATCTTCCTGTTTGGGCTAAGCAGAAATTGTTTGCCTCTTTTTAGATAAGGAGCAAAACTGCAAGATGAGTGTGCTATGATCTGCCTTTGTCATCATAACACCCTCTCTACATCCTAACCATCACAGCTATCTCTGCTGCTTCTGCAGGAATGACTCACTGTGGAGGGAGGCTATCATTAACACCCCACTCCACTTTAAAATGAGATCCATGCAAAGTGGTGCCTATTTGTTGCTCTGACGTTGAAATACACTAAATGGCAATTTTGAAAGATGGAAAATCTTAGTTTGACTTCTTGGATACCCTATGGTTAACACATGATTTAGACTTAAGTATCTGGCTCATTTGTTTTTGGTTTCTCACAGGCCACATTTAAACAGTCAAAACCTGTCTGATGGTCAGTGCTGTGTCTTGAGAACTTCTCTTGTGACTCTTGTATGGGAAACTATATAAATGATAGGTTATGCATTACAAAAGTACCAGCATATTTTTTAAGATTACTGTATGTATTTTGAGCCTAGAATGAGTGTTTCTTCCCTATAAACTATTCTGGTGAAATTTTGTAATTCATCATTATGTGTGTCTGATCTGCCTGCTATCCTGCACACACACACACACACACACACACACACACACACACACAATTTTCATCCTTTTCTAGATTTGAGAGGCAATGTGACTTCATGGCTTATGTCTGAAGTTTGAATCAAACACCACTGTGACCTAGCTCTGGGACTCTAAAGTTATTTAGCTTCTCTGAGCTTCAGCTAGCTCACTGGCAATTACTCTCGTATATCAGCCTCTTGGGGTCACTAAGGGTCTAAGTGAGATAATGTCCTTAAAGTGATTAGCATAGATCATAGCACATAGTAACTGTTCATTAAATGAAACTATTCCTTTTATTCTTAGCCACATCATGCATTTTTAATGAATTGAATTTTTGTTTAAATTTTTAAAGAGTTTATTTTGGGGAAAATGACATTCATATAGGTGTATGCCAATATATTATCAGATCACTTATAAATATCTTATGATGAAATAATGGGAAAATAGTGTTTACTATTAGCTCCAAAGTTCAAGTCTACATTTTATAATTTAACTTAGATGCTCAAGGGGCAGAATGAACTCTTTTGGTACACTGTTAAATCTATTAAAAGTTACATGATATTTAGTTGATGACACTATGCTGATAAAAATGCATAGCCCGTATGTAAGGGAACAAAACATGGCAAAGTAAAAGAGTTTTTAGGTATGGGAAGGGTTTTCTGCAGGAAAAGTAGCTAGAGAGATGGCTGAAAGGTCTGTATGTTAGCACACATCTTTTTGTCTCTTTTCCTGAAGCAACATTACAAGGAAGACCTTTTCAAAGGGGACCTAGGGAGCAACTACAGAGAAGGAAATATCCATTCCCAAAGAACTTGATCTTCCTCACCAAAAAAACCCCAAAAACAAAAAAGCAACACGCACACACACACACACACACACACACACACACACACACACACACACACACCCCAAAAAACAAAACAAAACAAAACAACAAAAGAATGATGCCAGAGGTTCTTCCCAGGGTGCAGTGAGAAAAAACTCATGGCTGAGGAAGATAAGAGAACCTTGAGAGCTCAGATGCTTAGTGACCATAGATAGCCAGCCAGATACTAGATAACCAAACATTAAGAAGGGTGAAGAGGGACAGAAAGAGATTACTGATTTTTGGCCCTGGAGCCAAAGAATGCTTCCATGAGAGACTGCTTCAGGTCTTTGTGGGCTGAGAGAAATCATAGCTTTGAGATGAACAAAGATCTCAGGTCAAACCAGGAGTCCTGCTTTTAGAGAGCCCAACAGAGAAGGGTCCTGTTCATAGGGAAGAGTTTAATGTGGTGAATGAGTACAAACGCTGGCAGTGATGAGCCACAAAGTTACTGCACCGCAAGTACCATGATCACCAGAGAAAGGCTGAGTCCAAGGATATCTAGTGAGAACCTAGTGTAGTGCCAGCTCCTTTTAAAATAAGCTGGAGAAGTCAAACCTAGAACTGGGGTGAGAGGAAAATTGGTGATATGTGTGGTATGTTTTGTGGTGAGAGAACCGAATGGGAGTGTGCACTCACATGCCTGTGGCTGGAGCCATCTGCCAAGTCCCTTAATGAGAAACCACATGGTGCCTGTGTGGAAACCATCCTAAGTGTTATTCATTATTGAGAGTAGGAAACAAGTGTTTGCCCAAATTAAAAGCTTGGCAAAACCATAGTGTACTCTGGATTCCTCTCAGTCAATCTCTTTAAACTCTCAATTTCTAAGACAAAGAATTGTGTCTGAATGTTACTAAAGAGGAAATTGAGTGAAAACAACTAATTGACACCCGGGGTGCAGAAAACCATTTACTTGGAAAAAGAACATATTTAATTGCAGTTTAAAGAAGAGTACATGCTTTGGAGTCAGGCAGAATCCAGTCTGAGACCCATCTCTAGCCACAGTTAGAGGACAGGGACTCATTTTTAAAATGTATTTGCACTATTTACTCATGGGTAGGTAGGAAAGGTACAATGATGAATAAAAGGTTTGTGTGTATAAAAACATCAAATGACCTTATCTATAAAAGTATTTAGTAGCGTAAGTCATGTGTCTGATACATGTTATTCCCTTTCCTCATGACTTTGGCACTGTCAAAATACGGACCCAGCCATTACCCCTGCCAGGCATGGCCCATGGTCAAGTAGTGCTAGGCTAGGCTATTCAGGCTACCAGAGAGAGCTAAGGTCTCAAGTCAGGCTTGTCAAGTCTCAGAACTTCTCAGTGTTATGACCTTGGAGGAGTTATTTCTCTTCTCTGTGACTTAGCTCTCCTACATATCAAAGTAGATGGTGATAACCACTTCACAGGGTGAGATGAGTGCTCATATTTCACAAAGGCACTTGGGATGATAGGGAAACAGTGGGACTGAGGTGAAGCCCAGGAAACAACATTCCAGGGGTAAGAGCTGCTGTAGTTAGGAGTTTTTCTTAGCTGGTCTTGGCTAAAGGTTATACTGAAAGGCACATATTATTAACTGCAAGGCCCTTCCTTGTCCTTATTTATTTTTTTAAAGACAACCTGTTTCTGAGACAGGATCTTGTTATTTAATTTAGTTTAGGCACCTGTGCTTGAATTCACAATCCTCTTACTTTAGGCACCCAAGGGCTTGGACTATAGGTATGTGTTACCATGTCTGGCTCCTGTAGATGATTTTAAATGGTAGATACATTGGTACACAGCCTGGGAATGGCCTCTTATGCTCCAATGTAATGCCATTTAATCTGCTAGTTCCAGTGGCATTCCGTCCCTAAAGTCTGAGTTTGGATGAGTAATATTTACTTAAAACAGCTGGAATTCTCCCTTGATCATTTTCTATTTTTTCCACGAACATGAAATTCTCTGAAAACATGAATGATGAATTTTCTAATTTTTAAAAATTCTTTGACAGTACATATAGGTGTATAATGATTTTAGTCATTTCCACAGCCCATTTTTCTTTCTCAACTACCCTTTCTCCTGCTCAAACCTTTTCTTCCCTTCTACCCTCATGTCTTTTTTATTGCATGTGGCCCACTGATTTTATTTGGGGTTGTCTGCATGATTATGGGAGAGAGGTTATTTACTGGAGCATGGATAACTTGTCAGTGGTCACACTGTAAAAGAAAGCAATCCCTTCCCTCAGACACCATTAACAGCTAGTAGTCCTTCAAGGGAAGGGTATTGCCTAATGGGCCCTTTCTCATTCTGTAACAAATGTTGATGGGAGTAATTCTGAATATTGCACTTCCATATTCTATTGCCTGGAATAGAACAAGGCATGAATTAGATGTCTTTGGATGCTCTACAATGTCTGCTGAATTAAGGTCTAGGCACTCCACTGCTGATCACACAAGGGTTACTTCTGCAACTTGCATCCCATGAGTTGTAACGAA